CCCCAAAACCCCAAAACCCCAAAACCCCAAAACCCCAAAACCCCTTTTATTTTTATTTCCCGAACTCACTGTTTTTATTCTTATAAGAATATCTGTTACTTCCAAATTTGGAATTATAATTAAAGAATCGAAGCTTCTCCATAAATTTTCTGACCAAGACGCAGATTGGCTAATCGTACATCTCCCAGATTAACCGCCACAAAAAGGGAAAGAGATAGGTTTTAGAAGTTAGTTATATATTAAGTTAGTAGTATCCTAAGGGGGCGAGCATGCTCTGGTTCGACGCCTCAATCTGTCTCAAGGCATCTAAACCAAAAGCCTAATTACTCAGTAGTATCCTAATGGTAGATTTTAGCTAACACCTCCTTCAGAGACTGAAGAGGCTTAAGCAAAGTTCTTCACTTCTATGGTATTCTTGGCAACCAGGTGGTCAAGAGAGTTTATCTCATTTTTAACAAAGTTCATATAATCGCAGATCAGAACATTCTTGTTGTCTAACTCTGAAAGACCGTTGAGGGCCTTGTGCAAGATATATAGAGCAAGCTTGGAGGGAAGGACACCGAAGGCCTTTTTACTCTCCAGAATGCTTCTCTTTGCAATCTTGACCATATTTTCACCTAAGAGTACGTTCTCCTCAGAAAGGAATTTAGGTGAATAAATTTCATGATAGCTCTCCATAAAGTTTAGCACATTGGGGACTTCAAATTTAAACTTTAGGCAGGAGGCGATCTTCCTCTCTCTAGCCAAGAGTTGTTTGGAGGAGATCTTTCCATGAGCTACCTTCTCGATCATGAGATCTAAAGTGAGTGGGTCTACTTCTTGGTACTTGCTGGCAATGAACATGGAGACAATTCCGATCTCATGAAGATCGTTCAGCAAGAGTGATTCAGAGGTCTGTTCAAAATATCTATCCATAATGTGAACAGACATGAAGAAGGTGTCTGATGGGCACTTAAAAATGGCAAGAACTTCATCCATCCAGACGATCATTTGCTTTCTGTGAGAATTCTTAATTTCATGTCTTGAAAAATCACCAGTGAGTTTTACTTGCTTTTTCTTTAAATTATGCAACAGTTTTATTCCATAAGTCGAGACCACTTTTGAATGCACAGATTCCTCTTCAGCTTCCATGGGGGAATCAGAGGAATTAGCTGTATCGATCTCCATTTCAACATCTTGGGAGAAACAGGTCGAGGAGTTTTTCGATGATTTGGTGGAAACCTTCTTGATCACCATTCTACTAAACTTTGCATTCGTAGAAGACTTAGAGCTATCTGAAAACTGAGTGCTGATAGTCTCGAGAGTGTTCAAATAGTGTGAATCCTCTCTAGCCTTGTTGAGCTTGCCTAAGCAAGTGTTTGCCTCTGCACAAGCTGAGTTTGTCATTATCGCCATAGCAGCAGTTTGTATAGAGTTGGTTTTTCTAGCTGTTGATTTCATTTTAATTTTATTGCAAACTTTCTATATTAATTTTTTTATAAGGGGTTTTGGGGTTTTGGGGTTTTGGGGTTTTGGGGTTTTGGGG